CTCCGGAATCGGTTGCGGGGCGGGAACAGGTGTCTCGAGATCCCGACGCCCGAAGGGCGGGTGGTCGACCGTCCGGCGCAGCTTCTCCAGGTCGACGTAGTCATCCACGTCCAGGGTGGCCTCGAGAAGTGTATCGACGCGGTCGTAGATCGCCGTGAGCCCGGAATTGAGTTCCTCCACCTCCGCCTGCCGCGAGGCCACATGGGCTGCTGCCGCTTCCTTCTCCAGGCGTTTGCGCTCAGCCTCCGACGCACGCTGGGCCGCAAGCATAGCCCTCTCCTCGGCCTTGCGTGCTTGCTCAGCACGACGGACCGCAGCCTCCTGTTGTCGGGCTGCCGCGCGCTGGCGCTGCTCGGCGAGCTTTGCCTGGTGCTGCATCTCAGCGAAAAAACCTCGACGGCGTGCCATGGATAACTCCTAAAACAAGACAGATGGACTATGAAAACTTGGCCCTGCGTAAAGCCAGGAAACCTGACTGAGAGACCCGATTGGCTGGAAGTAGTCGAAGTAGTCGCCGCGCGATCCGGTGAGGCTCTCCTGAGTGAGCATGGCCATTGCATGCACCCTGTCCAGCTCAAGTAGGACCTCTACTGCAGCGGTTCCTGGGTGCCTGGTTGCACGCCTCCCCAGGTGGAGCCTCCGGTATCGGGCAGGTACTCGTCGCGCATCATGGAATCGCCGTAGACGATGCCGGTGTCGTAGTACTCGTCCAGGTCGGTGAAGTTGGCGTTGTATGGGGCATAAAGGCCCGGGGCCAGGGCGACGACCTTGTTGTTGTAGGTGTTGCCCTCCAGGGAGCCGGCCACCCGGGTGTCGATCGAGGTCAGGTCCACCAAGACCGGGTACCCAGGGAACTGTTCCTTCAGCCGAGAGACCGGATCGCCCCCGGTAACGCCACCCTCGGACGCATCGATCGTGTCCGGATCAATTTCGCCCTGAGCGGTGCTCTCCGCAGGAGCCACCTGAGTCGTTGCGCTGCTAGAGCCGCCTTGCGATGCATCGCTGTCGGCATTAGAGGCAGTTCCGCACCCTGTCAGCAGAAGCGCAGACAGCGAGAGGACTGGAAGGAAGCGAGCGTTCACGGAATACCGCCTGGGGGAGCAAGGGTTCCGCCATAGCGGAGAGGCCCTGAGATGGAGGACTTATTCCCGATAGTAATCGAGACTGTCCGAGCCATGGCGTTAAG